GGGTGGGGTGTTGGAGCACCACCGGGCGCTGTGCCTCGGGGCCCATCCAGCCCGCAGAATGCTGGAGAGCGTTGGGAGGTTTCACCACTTTTGGATTCGGCCTGTTTTGACTGACGGCAAGTGGCGAAGCCCCCATTCCCGTGCTTACACCCGCCAGATCTCGGGTGGCTTGTGTTTCGTTTGGTCTAGCGAGAGATGTGTTCGTGCCGCTCGTGGCCTCTGAAGCGAGAGCCCGTGAGCTGAAGTTCCAGCTTTCAGGCCGAAGCGTGGCACGGACCTGAGCCGGCTGCTGCCGGGGTCTGTGTCGGCCGCTGCACGCCTCGCCCTCCGCTGCTTCTGCATCAGAATCCAGGTGTTCTCTCTGTTCATCCCTCAGCACGCACATAAGACTGTCTGCAGTCTTCACTAGTCTGCAGAAACCACATGGCAAGTGCCCAGCCAAACTTCTTGCTTTCTCAGAACTAGAGGCACTGGTGAGATTCAGCCAGGAGTTTTATTGGAAACCTTTTTGCAGTTTAAGATTTTTAAAGTCCCAAAAATAAAAGGGCTGAACTCCCTGAAGTTTATGCATACAGAGGAAGATCACAAGCCACTCACTTAACTGTCAGGTATTGCATCTGGGAGGTGAGAGGAGAGCTGCTCAGCTCGTGGGTTTGTATCCTTCACACGCCCTGGATATGCAGGAAGCTGTTAAGACAGTTCTGGCTTCTAGGAAATACAGCTTGAGAATCTAATAGGCAGGTTGTGTGCTAGTGACTTTTCATGTTGTACGCATAGATTACAAAATTAAATTAGGAAAGCTTTTCACTCCCAGTAGCAGGATTCTGGATTTTCTGTGAGTACATGTAATGACACTTCAATCTCTATATGTGCTTTTCTAGAAAATCTTTTGCACTCTGTTTGTTAACCCCAAGCCTAGTTCTTGGTTGCCTCAAACGTAGAGACTAGCCTTGTTTTTACGTTTAGAATAACTACTTGTGGTGTAGCTTTGGTCAGTTACAGTAACTGCTTCCCAGCTGATAACTGTGTAGGAAACTAAGCTGGTTTTTGGGATTATAGTGCAGATTTGAGAGTTCCTGCATGCTTCAGATTTTTTAAGGCTCTGCCTGTTTGTTTAGTGAGAGCTTGTTCTTTGATCCCTTCCTAAATACGTCAAGGTGAATTTTCACTTGCTGCTGAGTAAGTGCACTTAGCAGACTGTGGAGACTAATATAAAATGCTTGCATATACTAGCATTTTCACCAGATTTTGTTACTACTGCTAAAATTGTTTCTGGGTGCTGACTTGTGGCTTTGTTTAATATAACTGTTCCATTCAAAAAGGAACTTCCTGTCTAAAGATATTTGACGTTATCATCTGCTGCCTTTAAAGTTTCCTCAGGAATGGACAGATTTAAAGATCAGGATGAGAGGAGTCTCTCTGCTTTGCTAGCATCAGCATAGCTATAGTGAGACAGCTCTTCTGGACAGTAGAACTGCTGTCAGAAGTCTGGTCAGATCCTTGCTGATAATTTTTTTCTTTTTTTTCTTCTCAGCTTGATAGCTGGAAAGTTTAGAAATCTCGAGTATCCTCTAGTACTTTGAATTAATAACTGTAATTTAGGTGGCTGCGTGCTGGTCTGTTGTTCACTTGCAAACAGTTTGAACTGAATATTAAATCATAACTGAAATAGCAGTCACGATGAAATACTCAGGATGGATATATTGTCATTGATTAATATTCTGTAGGTGTTATTATATGTTCTTTTTGGAAGCTTTAAACAGTAGCTATATTTCACAGGAGAATAACTGGATAGCCTTAAGTGGCTGGTGATAAAAGAAGCATGGGGTCAAATCAGAGCTGCATTTGTTTTATCCCAGATTACTGTCTTATTAAAATACCAACCCTCCACACTGCTTAAAATCAGATTCATTGTGGGTATTTGTATTGTGGAAGGGAACACACTGACTGGGACTTCTCCAGTCCTTTTAGCTAGATTTTCTTGCTCACTTGTGAATGCTGGCAAACCACAGCAAGGACAAGCAACATGTTGCTTTCCACATGTTTTAAACTAAGAGTTCTTGCTTAGTGCTTTTGGGATTGCTTAGGAGTTGCTCATTTGTAACTCCTGTAAGTTGTAAAACTGGCAATTTTCTTTTTTTCTTTTTCTTTTTGTGATGGAGGGGCAGCAAAAGGTGTTGAGCATTTAGGATGTGTCATATGTGGAAGGAATGTGCTGGTTTTGTTCTTGCAAGTTTCCTATGACATGATTCTGGTGATGTGAAGAGAACTAACTTTTTTTTTTTTTTTTGGCATAGTTTTGCTAGGTTAAGTCTGACTCTGTAAATCCTTTAGCTTAATTGGTGTTATTATTAATAGTTGAACAGGGGTACTAGACTACAAGTCCTTCTTGTTTGTTCTGTAGATGTGTGTGTGGTATATATTCCTGATTGCCTGTTTGGAACATGTTGGAAGGGTTAAAACAGATCTTATCCTACTGACAGGAATAGTTTGCTGTTGTCTAGAAATTACATTTAAAACTGTATTCAACAATAGTCCTTGCATTTTGAAACCCTACCTTTACTTTTTGAAGTATAATATTTGCAGGACTAGTGGCCTTTTGGCAGATTATATTTTACATGGTTGTGTGATGCCTCACTGGTTTTACAAGATGCATCAGAGGACAAATATAAACGACCATTTGTTAAAAACATGTGACCCACTTAAAATTGAGTTTGTTTTCTGAAGGTTACGTCCCAGTCATAGTTTAGGTAGCAAAGCTAAGATGAGCTTTAAATTAGTATCAGCCTTTTTTGCCTCATTGAGTATATGTTGGGTATATTTCTTGTTATAAGGCAGGTATGAATTGTTAAATAACGATGTTTGAGCCAAGAAAATTCTAATGTTGACTGACAGAAAAATCTTGAAGTCTGATAGAGTTTCCATTCTCTTGTCTTTTTAAACCTAGTAGCTTTGTGAAGAAATTTACATGCTTTGTTGTGAAGCTTCCTCATAGAGGACAATCTGGTAATAATAGTAATTTCTATATGTTTTCTCAAAACTGGAAACCACTTGCAGCTAGTCGTGGGGGAAAGGAAGCATGGAAAAGCAGCAGTTGCTGAAAGGCGGGGGAATTGATTTGAAAAGGAAACAGACAGCTAACCAATTTTAAAACAACTCCAATGGTTTTTGGTTTTGGTTTTTTTTATTCTAGCCTGTAGTATAGGAAGTGAAAAATACTAGCCTGTAGTATAGGAAGTGAAAAATCATGAAAATATTTTCACAAAGTAGGTAGGAGAGAAGGCAAATTGAACTAGAAACGATGTCAGAGGTTATTATTCTATTTATAATAGAAATACATTTAAAGCTTTTCAAACTTGATACATGAGAATCTTCCATCTCTTCCTTAATCACTGTGTTTCATTAATTGCAGTCAGTGTCCATGTGTGTGAAAAATAAAAGACAGTGTGTTAAATTCAAAGACACAGCACCTGGAATGGTTTCCTTTTGTTATGTTAGTAATCTGACTGGACCTGGTGAAGTGAAGAAGCAGCTGAGTTTCAGGTAGCTAACTCTCAGCCATGCTGCATTTTGTGGGGAGGGAGGAGGTAGTTCAATATTCCGATGAAGGCCACCAGTAGGATTTTAAGATGGTTACTTCTCTGCTAATGCAAGGTGAGAAGCTTCATGCTAATGAAAGGGAGTTGGTGCACACCCACCTGAAAATGGATGTCTGAAGTGTAAGACTTTTTTTTTTTTAAGCCTGGTCTGGAGGTTGACAGTTCTTGCACGTGGAAACTCCAGCTATGATCTGGTTACCAGTCTTGCTCTAAGACCAGATTACCGCGCAGGTTACGTCCCGTGTCACGTCTGTCCAGGAGTTAAAGCTTGCGCATAACGCAGCAGCTGACCTCTGAGCAGTACTCCCCAGTTCCAGCACGTGTTCCCTTGTGATTTTTGATTTACACTGGCTGCCTCTGTTAGCTGGGTTTTCTCATCATCTTGAAAAGTTTTGGATGTTTCTTCTCTGCATGGTCACTTTGTGCTATAATACCAGAGCAGCATTTGGTGGAGTTACTCAACAGAGGGAGTACAGCTGATCATAGGGGTAGAATATTCTCTTGTTGCAAGAAAAGGAATTCAGTCCTTTGATGCTAAAGTAGATATATAATAGTACTTGTTATGCAGCTGTGTCATCAAACAAGAGAATAATTACATGTGAGAAGAAAGCTACTGTACTTCTTTTGGACCAATGAGTATCTACTTAATATAATTCTATGTTTTTTTTCTGAATGCAATGGCTGTCAGTATTTTAGAGATTTTTTTTTTTTCTAAATTGAGGAAAGCTCAATGTAGTACAAACCATTAATATTCTGCAAATGTCTTACCCTTTTCAAAGGGTGTGTTGGTGAAAACAGGTCCACGCTCAGGTTGTATGGGATCTGGATGTGCTGGCCCACTTTATATTTTTACTTTAGCTGTTAAGTAACATTAGCAGGCTTTAGAATTTTCTCCTGTTAGTTGTATGCACATGAACGTAATTGATGACTACTTTGGAGAAGTCGTAATACGTGATAACAAAGCTGAGCATAACCAACTTGGAGCACCAGGTACTGCAGTATGGAAAATAAATTACGCAATAGTTAAAGAGAAATGAGATTATATTTTATATTCAGATATTCTGTAATAGCTAGGAGTGCTCATTTTTTATAAATTGGCTGTTACATAGGAATTTAGATAGTACTGCAATACCTGATTGCTGTACCAGCACTAAAACTGGAACAATCTTGTTAATACTCTTGTATGAAGTGAATTGTATTGAGCCTGCTGTATTCTCTTTGATATGTTTGAGCTTCTCATCTTGGGTAAGAAGCTTCTTTTTCCACAGAAATGTCTGAAAAACCAAATGCTTCTCCTCTGAATTGGGAACATATGTCAAATTTCATTTTGGAGCAGACAGTAGGTTTCATCTCTGCTTTTGTGAACTTCAGCCTTTGGACTATGGAAAATGAAACTAGTTTAGGCAAACAGAGCTCTGTACCTGTGTAAAGGGGAAGCTTTGGCAACATTGGACTTTTGAAGTGGAAGGAAATAGTCAAAACAACTACTTGAGAATATTTCTTTGATAAAGTGTTGTTTCCGCCTGGAACTGGTTAAGGCTTCCCATTACCTCCAGCGTAATCTTTTAATATTGAATACTCTTGGCATAGTTGAATTGTAACTGGATAGGGATCATTCATTTTAAAGATAAGAAGGTAAACCAAACTGTGAACCTTTTAATAACAAAGGAAACTTAAATTTATTTTTATGGCTTCAGGTAGCTTTTTTCCTCTGTTCAGGATAGCAGGTGAAACTAGTAATTATTTTGGACACTGCTTTCATTTTGGTCAGCAAATACAGTTAGCAGGGCACTATGAGGAAAAAGGAAAATGATGACCTTGAATTAATAGACACTCAAAAGGAAGAATGGAATTTGTAGAATAACCTCCCAAAAGTTACCAGTGCCAATCCTATCTAGGTCAGCAAAGCCACTTGTGTATTTTTAATACATATTTCAAAGCAACTATGCCCGATTTGTTAACAGTGACACCTCTCAGCCATGCTCTAAAAGCTTTTTCTTCTTGGTAGCCAAATAGTTGTAATAAACCAACCCACTGAAGATGTTCTGAGAACACAATGTCAGTCTTTCACTTTTATTTAGATAACGTATGCTTAAGTCAGTGTACTCTGAAGTTTGTATTTCTGAAGACTTTTCCTGTGAAAGCCTACAGATTTCTGTAGGATTTTTCATTACCTGAAGGAACAGTGTTGGATTGCACGTTTTGAAAAATACTGACTTTTAAAACATGATGTGATTCTCAATTGTTTATTTCTATTTATGCATCTTTTCCTTTGTTTCAGGAGCTGTGGAAGTGTCGGTCCGAAGTCCAATTGCCTGCTGGTTTAGTGCTATGCTTTATTGCTTTGGTGGTTCAGTTTTGTCTTCATTGATGCTTGCAGAACCTCCAGTAGCGTTTCTGGCAAAGGGGACAAATGTCCTGCTGGCATCTTCAGTCTGGTAAGCAGCCACAGTTGAGTTAGATGAGTAGTATTGGTTCTGAGGAAGCTGTGCTTTGTAAACTGAGATTATATCATCAAGCTTCTGTGTAAATCAGTAGTTTAACTTAAAAATGTTACAGATTTGGATGCTGTCTCTTCATCCAGAAAGTGGCTGCAGCAAAATGGCTGTTATAGTCCTGTTCTATAGGAATAAAATGCTCATAAAAGAGCAATTCTTACAAGCTGTTGTATAACGAAATGCTCAGTCACTAGACTAGACTTGCCTTAGATTTTTGTAGTATTCCTGGTCAAACAGCTGAAAACATTTTTTTGGAATAAAGTGGACTTCAGTTACTGCTTTTCCGGATGTAGGTAAGTCATAAACACAGTCCTGTTTTTCAGCAGTAGCTCTTGAAGACCAGACCTTGGCTGATACAAAAATTTGAACTTTTTTGTAACTGGGGATCCAAGACACGGATGTCCTTTCCTCTCCTCTAGTTTCCACTTCCTGACATTTTTTTCCTGTATTTTGTCCTTTCCCAAATGGATGAGCATTGTAGTGGAAGACAGTAGAGAGCTGAATGGAAAGTCGAGTCTGTAAATGAGGCAGAAATTTGACCCGTTTTGGAATCTGAAAAAAACACGGGAGTGGTTTTCATATAAATCTGGCCTTCCAGTGGAATTCCTTTGTTCCACAAAGTTATATTTGAAGAAACCCTCAAACTTAACAAAACTTCTGAGCAGCAGTGGGTTTTTTAATTTTAAAATCTCAATTCCTATTTTAGAAGTGTTACCTGCTTGATATCCTTTAGTATCTCTTCCTTGTAGCCCCTTAGGTTTTATAATTGCTCATTCATTAAAATGAAAGTAAGTGTTTCTATCTGTCTGTGCATCTCTCTATATTCGTCTTATGGTCTTCATGCTGCAGTGGAAGATGACAGATTTTGTTCAGGCAAATTGGTGAAATGAATAATGTGCAATAAATAGTGCAGTATTAACAAAGTTTATAGAATTTTCTTATGGCTCATACTAGTCTGATGCAGGCAACATGACTGCTTGTTTTAACAAATGACATGAGTTAGGAGTACATGTAAACAGAACATGGTTTCTTTTGAACTTAACATGGTCAAACGTGATTTGCTGTGCACAAATAAAATGGGGTTTTAATGGGGAACTGGGAATGCTGTGAAACGTTTTAAGCTTCTAGTTTTGCAAAGTTCTCTGTTCATTAGTATAATGACTGACTTTTAATTCTTGGTCCCAAATCATGTGAAATGAAATTCCTCAAGCTGTACATAAAACTGGAAAAAGGACAGGGGTGTGCTGTGCTTGAGAAATGCTCCTAAATAGTTTGTAGGACAGTGACATCTACTGTTAGTGAGTGCTGCTAGCAGAAATTACAGGCAAAAATGCCATGGTGGGACTGCAGCACTAGGTTCAGTCCAGTTACCTGTGCTTCAGGGTCCTAAACCCACATCTGCAATTGTAAATCAGTTCTGGTTTCAGTTGTCTGTTGGGTACATGGCTTAGACAGCTATTAATTATATAAGCCATTAAAATACACGCTCGCTATACATCTTTGACTTCATATCAACTGAAGCTTGGTTGCATACAAAGGCAATTGACTTTACAATAGGAGAAAAAGGAAGAATATAAGTAGTTCAAAAGTATAGCTAAAACTGAACACCAGTAGTTAGCTATTAATGTAAATTCCAATAACTTTCCTTTATGTGAGAAATAGGCTATTGTGTGCTCCACTCTGAGAGGTCTTGAAGAGAAGAAGCTTTAGAAGTTTGAAGTGGCAAGGCACTATATCCATTGCAGGAAAAAGAAAAGATAAACTAGGACTTTAGCTGAACTTTGCCTTTCTGGGCAGGAAGCTTCCTGGCATTCTGCTGTAAAGGATAAACATTTTTTCCCCAAAATACCCCAAACCCCGAGTGGTGTTCTGGTTGCTAATCTCTAACCGTGAAGCATGACTCTTCCTAGTTGTGTCTGCTAGTAGTTCTAATGAAGTAAACTAGTTATGAGAGGTGCATCTCTGCATTGCAGCCTGAGTAAACAGGAGAAGGACACAGCCTTAGAAATTCTTGGTAGACAGGATTGAGCTCAGAAGCCTAAATCAACAGGAAAGTATATTTTTTTTAGAACATGAAAAAGGACCTTTCCCATCTTTTAAGGCTTTATCTGCTTTTACTTAATTGTTACTCTCTTATTCCTGTGCTGAAGTAATCTAGATACTTGATTTTTTTTTTTAAGGTGTTGAATGTCTCTGTAAGAACTGAATTTTGTTCATGATTGGGGTTACAATAAAACACCACCTGATCTAATGTTTTAGAAATTACTGTCAGCTTATGATTTAATTGTTAGCCATTGTTAAAAGCAAGTTCATAAAATATATTAATTAACTTTTGAGTACTGTGCTTTCAACACTTTGAAAAAAGAAATGTGCTTGTAATTAGCAGACTGGAAAAGCTAGAATTGATGGCTACTAAGATGTGAAATGTGTTTGAAAATAGCTGTGCATTTCATCTGGCATGACACTAACTAGTGGAGGCATTCTTGCTGAAGCTAGATAATTCCATGTACCTATCAGTATGAAAGCATGGTGTCAGCATGTAATTTACCACACTGTTGTAATCCTATTAAAAAAACCCCCAAATGAAAAAAAAAAAACACAACCAAACAAAAATGACCCACAAAAACCCAAACCACACAAAGTCATTCAGACAGTAATTTAATAATTTGAATTATAAAAATATTATATGTAAGCTGTAAAATGGTTGGTAAAATTTAAAGCTGTTTCTTGTGTACTTTAATGGATTCTTCTCTGGGACAGTGAAGCAGGAAGAACAATTTCACATAGTGTTTGATGATTTTGGTGCAAGAGCTCAAGCATGCTTAAGAGCATTTCAAATTTGTTTCAGTATGTCTACCCCACAAGACAGTGAGTTGTCAGTAATATATCATGCATTTTTAGTCATATTCCAAAACTATCTTTTAAGGTTATTAGAAAGTGAATTCCTTAGCAAAAACTTTTGAATGCTGCTAATGGGTTTCCTCATGATTTTCAGGTATCTCGTGTTTTACTGCCCACAAGACATGGTCTATCGGTGCTTTGCGTTTCTTCCTCTTCGGCTTCTGGTTGCAGGAATGAAAGAAGTGACTAGGACTTGGAAGATAACGGCTGGCGTTGCACATGCAGACAGTCACTTCAAAGATGCCTGGCTTGTCATGGTAGCTGTAGGCTGGGCCAGAGGTAACGTGCATAACATCTTGTTCTGATGGATTGTGATGTTTTGGAGTGGTATTTAAATGGGTAGCCCTTCAGTGTAACTAGCACCATTCCTTATTGTGCTGGATATGATAGTCCTAATACAGTCTGTTACTCCCTCAAGGGAAAAGCCTCTGCAGCAGTTTTCCTGCTTGGATTAAGGGTGACATGGCATGACTTTAAGGGAAGTTCATCTTATCCCTTCAGAAGGTCTTGTGAGGACTTGTAGGATGCGCAGTTGATGACAATAACAAAATAGATCTCCCGTGTAACTTTAGTGCTATTACTAAACTTTCCAACAGTGTATTTCCTCAGAGCTGTTTTCCTTGCGTGTGGCTGAAGAAGAAAACTTATTTTAGCTTTCTGGGTTGTAACCATTGTCTGATTTTAAACACAGGAATGAACCTTCCTGTTTGGAGTACGACTCTGGAAACTGCCTAGCAGCTGTATTTGTAGTCATACTGTTAGAATCACTTCAGAAAGTAGTAGTGCAGCTCTTGTTTCTATTTGCTTGATTCTCTTCTGCTTTGGGAAATAACATGTGTTAGTGTGATGATCTAACATATTCTTTTCCCAGGTCAGATCAGTCCCATTGGTCAGAGCGTCTTAACACCTCCTTATGGCTTGTGTTATTTTGGTGTAAAAATATGTATCCACTTTTCTCACAGAGGGTCCTTGTAGTTTGTAGAGACACTCTCTACTTAAATGATGACATGAAGAATGGAATGATATAAGCCTCTCTGAAGAGACACTTTGGCAATTTGGGGATTTGTTTGTAGTGGTGAGTGCATCAGTTCAAATGCTGTCACATAAAGGTAAACCTGAGTAGCCTGTAAGTAGCTAAAGCTCTGAGGTTTCACGTTGGTAGCTCAAGTCATGCACATATGAAAGATTGGATCAGTCTCTTTAAGTCTGAGCTTTGGCTGCAACATATGGCACCTGCTGTAATAAGTTTTTCTGGGAGCAGCAATAAGTTATGCAGTAGTGATAGCAGCCAGTGGAGGCTTATTGTAAATCTCTACAATTTCAGGAGCTGGTAGTGGCCTAATTTCCAACTTTGAGCAGCTGGTGAGAGGAGTCTGGAAACCTGAAAACAATGAACTACTGAAGATGTCCTAGTAAGTTTTTTAAAAAGACTGCAACATGTTAATTGTTGTTTTGCCAACTCCTTGTGTTGACACTCACTTCTAGTGGTTCAGATTAAAAAAAAAAAAATAGCAGTAGGACATGTTTGTCCTACAAAATTCTCGGTAGTGTGTATCTTGTGAGAGATTGGTTAATGATCTTTGGTAATTTTAGCAGATGGTTTAATCGTTTTAGGTTCACAGTACAAGAACACCAAATGGGAAGATGAGCCAAGAAAAATTATTTGGCAGAAAGCAGTATTGAGTGAGTAGGAAGTTGCTGGAAAGCATCATTGACTCCATTTGGTCATGGTCTTCTATCCAAAATGGAAAGACAGTGGTACCAGAAGTATACAAGTGAAGTCTGCCTTTTTGGTGCATGTTCTGAGCATCACTAGGACGGCTTCCTTTGATTGTTGTCACTCTTACCTTCTCTTCCAGTACTGTTTTCCTCCATAGATATCAGTTATTTGAGAAGGCAGAAATTGGTTAATCAATATAGCAAAAATGTACTGCAAGATAGGAGATGTTACTTCTCTTGCAGAAGCAAAGATTGGGAATATTACATGGCTCCCAATTTGTGTAGTAAAATGAGAATTGAGACGGGCTGGAAGGCCACAAGCTATTACTGTAAGTCAAGATAAGTTCACTCTGGTAATTTCCTAAAATTTGTTTGATCTTTCCTATGCTACCTTCAGGTCTTTAGAAATTATATATATATTTATATATTTAAAGTTATCTTGCTTTCCGGCTGCCATTCTTAGCAACAGAATAACAGAAGATAAATTTGTAGCCTTTCCTTTGGCAATATTTGAACTAACTTATGTTAGTTGTTGCCTTTTCCTAAAATTCCAGGTATTTAGAATTTCTCTCCCTCTGTCAGTACCTAAGTGGCCATCTTGAAAGCAAAATTCTGGAAGGAAGAGGTCACTGTCCGTAACAGCACTGTAAACCCAAATAACACTGTACTTACAGGTGCAACGCTACAGCAGTGCTTACGGACTGTGGCAGTGCTTGCATATATTCTCCTTCTCCATGGTAGATGTGGCTTAAAGTAACTTAAAAAGGATTAAAAAAATTTTATTCAATATATAAAGCTGAAGAATATTAAATAGGAGTAAGTTAAAAAGTTAAACTGAGAAAACATTCTGCAAAGGGATGAGATGCCTGTATGCACAGAGTTGTTTTTTTGGACTTCTAAGCAGGGATTTGATGCAGTAAATCTCCAAGTTACTGAAAAGAAAGTGGAGAATGTGTCAACACTAGATGCTCTGTGATAACAGGAATGTCAGCTGTACATGTCACATGTAGATGAAGATTAAGAAATGCACAGAATTTTTCTGCCAGTTTATTAGTGCTCTCTCTTCAGATGACTTTAGATAACTGACTGAAGTTCTCTTTGTCTTCTGACTGCATACCTAGCAAGGGATTTACCACCACAATGAAGATAGCTAGAACATGTAAGTCTTTGCATGTCTCAGATCAACACAGCTATGTTGGCAAACCCTGGTAACATAGGCCTGACTCAAGCCAAGTATAAGCTGACTGCAACCCTAGAACTGCTGGAGTGTCACAGTGGACCGAGACTTGGACTATGTTGTTCTTCAACACCTTAAGTAACTCCTTGGAGTAACTAGCACCTGGAGTATAGGAGAAGAACCTATTTTTTAAGTCTAGTCCAAGTAGTGCAAGCTTTGTGATTTAACTGTTCAGTAAGATATATAGGGAGAGGAAGAAAGGGGGCAAGCTGGTGTGTAAAGTCTGAATAGAGGCATTGATTTGAGGAGGATTTATCAAATATGAGTTTGCTGGGTGTGCAGAATAGTGCTGAACTTGATGCTTGTCCATATGATGGACGGAAAGCATAGTAATAGTATGTAAGTGAGTCTTAGTTTAATTGTAGCTAGATTTTGGACCTTATCACTATTACCACAAGTTTGCATTAGTTCTATTCAGAAATAATTCTTCTGTACACTAGGAACATTTATTGCTTTCCAGGCCATGGCAGCTTTCACTGTAGAGAAGAAAAATTAACATTGTTTGTTTGATTTCCAGCCCTGTGAAGGTAACTTTGATAGGAGCAGTTCTTTTCACCCTGCAACACAGCCAGTACTTGCCAATAGCAAGACACAACCTTGTGTTTTTCTACACCGTATTTCTTGTCATCTCCAAGGTAAGAATAAGAAAGTGTTGCAAATAACGGAAAATATTTTATTTCATTATTTCAGAACAAAAAAAACCTACCACAAGTTAGAATGTGTCCTTCTAGATGGGAAGGCCAGCTCCTACTGAAGTCTTAAACCTGTGTTTAGTCTTCTATGCACAAGCAGAACAGAAGAGCTGTTCTGTTACTGATATTGTTCAATGTAGGAGGGCGAAGAAAAAAAATCAATTTTTGCACCCAACAGTTGATATGCCAGGCTTGTATGTCTGTGATCTCAAAGAAAACTTATGCTTGTAGGAAGAAGCTCACCTGTTCTCTGCCTTTTGCTATCTGCTTAATGCCTTCCTTGTACCTGTGCAGTCATCTGTGGGTTGGCAAAACAAGCCAGCTGGGTTCTTATCTTAAAGTGTTTGCAACTCAAGTCTTGGGGTGGAAAGTGTATCAAAACGTCTTCGAAGTAGCTCTAGCTACTTTTATTATAAGTAGATACTACTTCTCTGTTGAATCCTTTAATCCCTCTAGTCTTGTTCATTGCCAGGATGGTGCCTGTGTTCAGGATTATTAGCTAATAAGAAAGTGTAGTCTCTGTGTTAGCAGAAGTCTGGCGATTTTCACAGAATCACAGAATTGCCTAAATTGGGAAAGACCTTTAAGATCATAGAGTCCAATCATAAACCAAACACTGACAAGTCCCTGACTAACCCATGTCCCTAAGCACTATGTCTACACGACTCTTCAATCACTCCAGGGATGGGGACTCCACCACTGCCCTGGGCAACCCATCCAATGCCTGAGAACCCTTTCAGGAAAGAAATTCTTCCTCAGATCCAATCTGAACTTCCCTTGGTGCAACTTGAGGCCATTTCCTCTTGTCCAATCACTTATTACTTTGTTGAACAAATCAACCCCCACCTCTCTACACTCTCCTTTCAGGTAGTTGTTTTAAGAGCTTCATGGATGCCCGTCTTAAAGTGGTGGTTGCCAGTCTCCTTTCTATGAAGTAGCTCCAAGTTTAATTCTAGAGAAGTTGCTTTAGGGAGCCAAGACTTTGACCTGATGCTCATGATTCCCCACCTAAACCAATGAAGGCATTGCTGAGCTGGGGATGCTGGGAATGGAGAAGGAAAGGAATGTTATTCTGGAAGTGTAGAATTACAGCTGTCTTCAGAAGCTGTCTGTGAGGCTGCGTTGAAGTTAATTAAGTTCTTCAACTTACTGACTGATCATACTGACAATCAGGAACTTTAACATCCACTGAACTAATAAAGCAGCAGTTGTGGATCTGGCATAGTAGTGTCTTGTTTTAGAAACTTTTCATGTCGCTGAAAACTGTAGTAACTATGCAATATAAACTTGTCCAGTACCTGGATCTACGTTTTTTTCTATCCTGATTCCAAGTTACGTATTCTAAGGAATTTCCACCTAAATCTCTCAACTTTATGGAATGAGTATGGCTGCCTGGAATTCTGGCTGTGCATATATACTTAAATGCTTACACATTGCATTCTTTGAATTTAGAGGGAAGTAGCCACTGTGTTTAGAGTTTCTCAGTTTGAACAAGGTACAAAACTTACACGTAAAAGTTCCTCTTCACCTTAGTTGTATGACATTAAATGTGCTTTACTTTTAGGATGATTTTAGTAAACTTGCATAGGAAGTTTTTTGTGCACATCATTTGTAAATAGCTATGTGAAGAGTATAGGTCAGAAAAAAACATTCTTTGATCAATTCAGGCTAAAATGAACATATTTCTGTTCTCAGTGGCATGGGCTCATGCTTATGTAGAAAGTTAGAAATGTCATGCATCCATCCAGTTTTGAACTTATTTTCAACTGCTGTGAAGTAATTAAAACTTTTATGATAACTTAATCCTTGTTCTTCATAGGTAACAATGATGTTGACAAGATCTGCGACTTCTCCATTTGCTCCCTTGGAGGCTGCATTAGGCCGTATGTTCTTTGGCTTGCAAAAGATGCCATCCAAAGTGAAGGGTGAAAGTGCTGCATCTTCCAATGGCGCTTCAGTCTGTGACCGAACTTCTGAACAGCACCGTGATAGTGTTAAGAAAAGACAGGCAAAGAAAACAGAATAAGTGGCTTAAAATCCTTGATGGTCATAACCTTTGAAGATGTTTGTATTTCTGATTAGGCTGGCTGAGAAACTTTTTTAAAGAAATGCACATGAGGAGAGAACAGGGCTGTGTACTCCTGCGCTGTTGTTCACCTTCAAAATGTGTTTTGTAAGTTACTGTTCAGATACCTAAATGCACATGTTGGATTTGTAAGTTAAAAACTACACATTTTTATAGTGGTTGCAAGTTTACTAGATTTTGTATTTATGATAACTTTAAATGCTTATGTGCTACAAAGATAATTTCAAAATGTGACAATCAGCTTTGTTTTTTTGCCTCGTATATCACTTGTTTTACCTCTTCTCCCCTGCTCCCCCAGTTCTTATGTTTCATTTGAGTAGCATGGATTTGCACTGCCAAGTGTTCACAGTAGCATGTCCCAAATAAGAAGGTCATGATCTGAGTAAGTCTTAATCACATTGCACCGTAAAACCATGAAAATGTACCGAGCTAATGCCTTTAACTAGAAGAATAACTGAATTACTTGCACTGGTCTAGATTTTCTTCATTTACTTAAGTAAATATTTTTAATCTCTTTCTATTTTTTAAAATACGAGTTAATTGTCTGGCACTTTTAAAATTCTTTACAGCTAGTAAGCAGAAACATTTAAATATTTTTGTTGTTGGCTTGCTTTGACACTTTATTTGCAAACATATGATATATATCTGTTTTTCATGTTACACAGGTGATTTATATGTCGTTTGTAGTTATTTTTCAGTTTGAGTGAGACTGGACATCTCTGGCTGCACTTTTATCCAAACATACACTTTTTTTTCTTTTTAAAGCCAAACTTCCTTTTAAAAAAGAAAACTGGACAGTACATTTACCTTGTTTCTCATGAGTTCAGCCCTTTCATGCCTGCTGTTACCAGCATTAGTTTGTAGTAATTACCTCTGGTGCTGTTGGTGAAGAAATATTAATTTATTAGTGTTTGCTGATATCTGCTGCTTCCTGCTTGTTGCATCTTTTTTGCACATGATGTGGAGCAGTTTTAAGTGGCATACACTTCAGAACTGAGAACTTTGACATTTTAGAGATGTTACATTTCATAAGAATAGAATCTTTTCAGGGGAATCTTTAATTTATGTGACATTTTTTAGAATAAATTAAACTATTTTTACAGAATTAGATTATTTGTCTTCAGAGAGTACTGCTTTGCAGGGTATTCTTCAGCAAGAGGAGGTAAGTTAATCTTTGTGCAGGGATGCCAAGGAGAATGTGGAGGGCGGTCTGATTTGAAAAGACAAAGTTCTAGTTCCAGGTACATATCTAAATTTAGAAAAGCTGTCACCACTTCTGTGCTTAGAGAGAAGAAAAAGAAAAACGTACTCAAGAAATTTCTTGTGCCTGTCTAGCCACATTATTGTAGTAGTGACCAAAACCATTGAACTCCTCAGTTTGGAATCCAAATTTATAGCAAATGTGCTGTATCTTGAAAGCTAAAATTAGTATTTTCTTCAACAGAGAAGAATAATTAAAAAAAAAAAGAACCTCCAACTCTTTGGCAAAGTAGCAATCATATTCCTGACATTTTACACTGAAACTCAGTGTACAGTTATAAATGCTTGGAGTATTCACTTGCAGGGTGTCTCAGTATTTGTAGCTTGGTATCGTGGTTGTATGGATAAACTTGAAGCTGCCAACTAACTAGTTAATGATCAAGTAGTTATTCAACAACACCAGCCAAAGTTGTAAGTCCATGGTTGTTAAAACTTCTGTGTTTTTTTTGGTTTTTTTGGTTTTTTTTTGAAGAGGTGTAATTGTATATACTAGATCACAAGAACCATGCAGAATTGGGTTGTGGTATGGAACTACATTGTACAACCGTGAAATGCTGGCTGGTAACTGGCTACTCTTAGTCCAGATAAATGTGAAGATATGCTTAGACTAATTCTTTAACAAATTACAATTTGAAGGAAAATATATGGTTTTATATTCATTTTGGATTTAAAGATGGTAATATTAAAAAAAAAAAAAAAAGTTGTTGACTGAACACCTTAAGTGAAATACAAATCACATTAAAATGTGTATTATTGTGAGACAGAACACAAGTTATGCTGAAAGGAATCCCATTGCAATCACCGTGAAAACAAACCTTCATGTTTAAAGATCTCAAAGGCTTCTGAAGGATAGGTGCTAAAAAGAACTTAATACTGAATAATTACATGGAAGTGTTCTGAGAACTAATTTTATAATACAAAAAAAGGTAACCACTGGCACAGGGTTTAACCTGAATTCTATAGCAGACTTGTAATACAGTTGGTCCAGGATGCATTAAAAAAACAAACTAGCTTTAATTAATAAACTTCCTAGCTTTCGTGCTTATAGTTCTGTATCTCTGCTAAACTTCTCTGTGTGAGATTGGTGAGAATTCCTTATAACTGTTTTCTTCTGGTAAAACATGTCAGATTCAGCAGAACTGCATATGTGAATTAGTTGGCTGTATTTCATTTTGTCGTTAGCCTGGTAAAATGAGAATTAGTTCTGTTGTGCTAATGCAAGCTAAAGCTTGAAGGAGTTGTTTTTATCAGCTCAATTCTTGGGCTGGACAGGCCTGTTGCTCATTAATCCAATTGCTCTTCTGGGTCTTTATTTCTATTAAGTATGCCCAATTTCTGTAAAAAGAAATATCTTAAGTTGTGATTCATGGGCAGACCAAAGTTGATTTAGATGGTAAATGCATTTTGCTTTCCTCTTCTGTACTTTCTCAATTTCATTTTATTGGAAAGAGGTGAAGATAGGAGAATAAAATACAGACAGTGCCTTAATTTTCAGCTTCGTTCTTCAGTGTTTTATTAGACAAGACACGATTGTTCAAGAATTCCAAACATCTGACTTCTGTAGGAATCTGAATTTGCTCAACGTAAGGTCTGTGCTGAAATCTAACGTCTTTCAATAATCTAGATAGTGAATGCAAGCTTTACTTAGAATGAATGCTTTTAATTTATAAGGTGAATCCTAATTTTTAAAATCTAAATGAAGTCTTGCAAAGAGTAGTAACAGAGAAGCAGCATTTGACACCAAGATGAGAATCAAAAAATGTGTTGTAAATAGGAATTTGCATTTGTTCTGATAAAACAGCCCCATTAAGCCAGTGCCTTTGTGAAATGTGTGAAAATGTCCAGCAAGGAACAGATAGCAATATGAACACTGATGGAGAAATACATTAATGTTCTTAGGCCAGAACAGCCTGTTGCACATTGATCTGCAAGTGGGTTTTATCTACAGTCAAGAAGTAAAATAGCGATGATGAAGATACCATACCAAATAAAAACAACTGTAGCCAAGTTTGATAAACTAGTGCATGCATATGTGCAACAACTTCTGTGAAGAAGAAACATGATAGGTTGTTAATAGAGGAGGAACAGACTAGGTTTTCTGGATGGAGATCAGTGATGAGTGCTACACCCTCCATGGTCTGTATTGCATATTGGGACCAGTGCTGTTTAATACCTTCATCAGTGACATAGACAGTGGGATCAAGTGCACCCTCACCAGATTTGCAGATGACACCAGTGGAATGGTTGACAACACTTGAGGGATGGGATGCAATCCAGCAGGACCTCAACAAACTCGAGAAGTGGGCCCATGTGAACTTCATGAGGTTCAACAAGGCCAACTGCAAGGTCCTGCACCTGGGTCAAGTCAATCCCTGGTATCAGTACAGGCTGGGGGATGAAGGGATTGAGAGCAGCCCTGCGGAGAAGGACTTGGGGGTACTAGTGGATAAAAAGCTGGACACGAGCTGGCAGTGAGTGCTTGCAGCCCAGAACACCGACCGTATCCTGGGCTGCATCAAAAGAAGTGTGGCCAGCAGGTCAAGGGAGGGGATTCTGCCCATCTGCTCTTGTAAGACCCCACGTGGAGGTCTGCATCCCGCTCTGGAGTCCTCAGTACAAGAAAGACATGGACCTGTTGGAGCAGGTCCAGAGGAGGGTCACAAAAATTATCAGAGGGCTGGAGCACCTCTCCTGTGAGGACAGGCTGAGAGAGTTGGGGCTGTTTAGCCTGGAGAAGAGAAGGCTCCAGGGAGACCTTATTGTGGCCTTTCAATACTTAAAGGAGGCCTATATGAAAGATGGGGGCAAACACTTCAGCAGGGCCTGTAGCAATAGGACATGGGGTACTGGTTTTAAACTAAAAGAGGGGAGATTCAGACTAGATATAAGGAAGAATTTTTTTACAATCAGGGTGGTGAAACACCGGAACAGGCTGCCCAGAGAGGTGGTAGAAGCCCCATCCCTGTAAATATTCAAGGTTAGGCTGGATGAGGCTCTAAGCAACCTGATCTAGTTGAAGATGTCCCTGCTTACTGAAGAGGGGTTGGACTAGACGACCTTTGAAGGTTCCTTCCAACCCAGACCATTTAATGTTGCTTTGATTCTATGAAAAAACATTTCTTCAAAGTCGTTGAAGCATGCTGTCAGGATGGTTGAGACAGCCTTAATGACCTGGAAGCTGATAATGCTATTGGCATGTAGTACTTATGAAAGGAACCAAAAAGCAAGAAACCATCTACTTTGTTGTCTTTGGCTGAAAGTTTATCAAGCTTTCTGGCATACTTTTCCATGATAAAATATACACAAATTGTTCTTTATGGTAGTCAATTCGATTAGAGTCAACTTCAGTTTGGTCAGATTTTTTTCTTCCCTTAAAAGAAGACCACTATCAGAACAGTTGAATATCAAAGCTGGACTAGGTAGTCTTGTGGATTTTTGTTGTTGTTGTTTGGGGGTTTTTTTGTGCCAAGTTTGGAATAAAATTACTGAAAGATTTTTTGATCCAAAGCTCTTTAGCACACATTCTGTTTTCTGAAAATTACATCCATTTATGGTCCCAGGATGTTTATGGGAATTACATGGAAGTATTTTTGAGTGTCTTTCAGTGGAATTTGAGTATAGGTTTAAAGCACTTAATGAGAAGATTATGCTGAGCAAGTTGAAGGCTTGAATTTATATGGTTCTTGTA